AATGTGACGGTCAATCCCACTATTCGTTGGTAAAAGAGTAGCCCAACAGTTGGCGGTGGGTGGTGATGACTAGCTGCCTACCCTCTAGTCTTACACTGCTAAATTAGGGACGGCTAGCGCAGATAGCCCTCGTGTAGCTTTGCGCGAAATTCAAAACAAACAAACAAACTTCATTGACAATACTAATTATACGAGTTAGTATATCGAATACCATTGCTTTTTGTTTCGGTTTATTGTCTATTAATCTACTTTTGTTATAAAGATTGTTTTGCAGAGTTAGCTTTAAATATGTATCTAGGACTAACCTAAGTCTACCAAGTTTGCCGATATTATTGGGATTACGGCTGAAAATATAGTTAACAATGATGGTACCCAACTGATGAAACAATGTATTTTAATCTTTATAAGTAGAAACGAAATGAAAATATATTTAATTAACTATACTGATGGTTAGGTTGATTTAAGTTTCGGTCTAAGTACACAGCTTACTCTGATAGGAAGTTATTATTGCCAAGGATATCGAACAACGGAGCACTAGATGTAACATTATAAAGCGAAACATTGCTAACTGCCTAATAAATGTGTATTATAGTTTTTGTTTGAATAACTTTTAATTGACTACGAGTAGCGACAATTGCTACTGTGTGGATAATGCACTTTAATATGAAGACTTCAAACTTCCTGAAATGTTATTTTGGTCACTTCCTTTCATTACACTAAAACATTTTCAAAATTTTCAAGTTTCACAAAATAAGTGGAATGACATTATATAAATCATGATATTATCATTTGAATACAAATAGAAAATTAAACCAAGCTGATCCAAGTAATTGATCAGAAATGTGTACATGTGCTTCAAGAAGTTGAGTGAGAAAACTGAAATAGAATCGGTTGAAACATGTGATACACTTTTCATAACTTATAATAATTTCACAAAAAAATTACACTCTTTCTTGTGATTGTACTTTAACATCTAAAACCGTAGGTCTCAATTTTTTGTGATTATTTTAAACGAATCAATATAGGTTCTGAAAAACCCCTTAAAACATTAACTCAAAACTAATGTATTTAAGTATGAAACGTACAGTTGTTTGGATCAACATAGCTCTTTGTCTTCGCATCTCTAGGACAACTTCTATTGGATAAACTGGCTCATCAGCCTCAATAAGGCACATAGCAGTTTCCATCAAGATGAGAACTCCTGTTCTTCCAATCCCAGCACTAGAAATAGAGCAGAACTTCTAGAATTTTTCTTGACCTTAAAAACTCATAATCCTAATGAACTTATACTATTAACGTTTTCATTATAACGTTTTTTTAGATAAGAATCCTTTCATTATTAAATAAATTCCCTACAATTATTTTAACAAATTACTGATATTTACCAGTGTTTCCAGTTACGAACTCATATACATAGTTTTATATTAAGTATATAACTTGAGATGTATCTTTATTTTACTCGTGTGGTTGTTTGATCATGTACATTAAAATGGCATGGGGTTAACATAGTTTATGTTTCTTGCAGCAGTAATAGGAAGTTCTGTGGAATATTAACATTTCAACTCTCAATTTGACGCATTAGAGTCGTTAACAAAAAAGTGAGTATAAGTGAATAAAATATGGAATACAACGTTAATTAAATTCGCATACATTGTACCCAGCTTATTTTTATGTTAAATTTTTGAGCTTTATGTACGTGTGGCGAATCGCGGTAATTTGGTAAATCTATGTTTAATGTTTTGGTGTATAAAGGAATTATTGAAATTTATATATTATGTTTCATATTAATTAAACCATAAAAAAAAACGTAGCGAAGTCGTCGTATTTTTAAACGTGTTGCAGTGTAAGAGTATTCACTCGTAAGAACTATTAGCCAAATGACTAATGTGGTTGACAATGTCATCCACATGTATATTCACACAAAACATGCACACGCGTATTACTTATAGTTTTAAACTTTCGTGGCATAAGCTTAAAAAGTGAATTTCCTTTTGCATCCAAAACCGCTTGTAACATGAGAATATGATGATGTGAAAACTTCTTTTCTATTTTAAGTCTCTATATCACTCTTGTGTCCCGGCATGGCCAGGTGGT